GGTCCCTGACAACATTAACCCTAACCCTCCTCAATCCTTCACCCGTTGGAGGACTGAGGAGGGTTAGGGTTAATACACAATCATTTCCCTGCACAAATGTTTGTGATTTGCTCTTCTGAGAGTTCCTTCTTTGCTTTCAGGGTTGACACAAAAGAACTACAGCAATCTAATTCGTATTAAAAATGGCCCTAAAAGAAAGGATCTGAACAATGTCCCCCTACCTGAGACTGAAGTTTCCTGCAGAGCTCTGCAAATCGGGCAGCATCAGCCTCTCTTCCTTGTCTGGCCACTGCAAGAAAAACAATGTTTTTCTTGGAAGTGGTTGAAATCATCAGCAGTCGTGATATGTCAAAGAAAAATGCTCATGAAAACTTCAATTTAAGGACACATTTTAGGACGGTACTTGGAACTTTTATCATGTGCATTTCACGCAATTTGAAGAGGGGGAACATATTTTGTTATGCTTACATTTTCTTTGAATTCGCTGAGACACCTGAAACTCATCTCCTTCGACTGATGGGGTAAAATTGCTACAAACAAAACAAATGAATCTCAGTAGAGAAAACAGTGCTGTCTATCTTTATAAAGACTATGTTAAGAGGCTTATGCCCTACTCAGCAATATCATATGAGTTTGAAATTGGGTATATCACCATATTTTCTTAGATTTGAGTGTATAATTTAATTGATTTGATTGTCTTCTATTTACCTGCTAATTACTCGGAGGGCATACTGGTATTGTGCAGTAACATCTTCATCTGAAACAGGAGAAATTAAATACAAATTATTAGCAAATCCTAAGCGGCTGAATGCGTAATATAAATAGTGTCACATGTCTGAATGGCACATTAGTTTAGCTAAATTGCAGAACACCCCGCCACCTTGCATGGTCAACCTCGTAGCCAGCTATGAGGTCAAATTGTCACACTGATCTCATGGGGATTTTCACCCCGTACCCAGGGGTCTATTTTTGGAGTGGTGGGGTATTCTGCAATTACTCCATTATTTCTTTCCCTCTTTCTCCCAAGACCAGGATAGACTGGCCTTCAAGTCACTGGCAAATATCAGTTTTTGTCAATTTTAAGGCCATTTATTCCTTCAAAATCCCAACTTTTATGCAAACACTGGAACAGACAGTGGTGGTGCATACACTTTCCTGTCCGGCCACAATGTGCAGCTCTGGGAGCTGGCAAGTCATTGAATGTCTGACATAAAAATACTACACTCTTAGGCTAGGTTTGAGCTGGTTATAACATCTCCAATTACAATGAGAAACACTCTACTTACCTTTTGGTTTTGCCAGCATATGCCTGACCAGCTTCAGGAGCAGTGTTTGGGGATTGCTGGGGCCTGAGGCACCCGACGCCATGGTGACATGAAGATCAAGTCTGTAAGTGACTCAAGAAATCTTAAATGACAACACCACAAACTGCAACATGCAGCTGACGAATTGACAAATGGTGCTTGATTTACTGACATGGCATCCGTACCAAGATAAAACAGTATAGTGGAACTGGGTGGTCACAAATGAAAAAGCTGAAAACAGCTAGCAAATAGCTCAAATCTAATTTAAAAGGTTCCGACAGAGCAGGTGTACAAAACAACTTTTATTGTGAGTAAAAATCTGAACAAAAGCCGAAAGTAGCCTAGTATTACTATTATTAATTTTTAGGGCCTAAAATTTAACGTCATAGCTATTTTTATGGTAAACGTAATGCAAGTTCAAATTCTATATTTACAGTTGTGCAAAATCATCATTGTATTCTGTATAAGGTTCTAATTTCCCAATACTACTGTGGCACTGCGATAGCACAGCCATTACGCAGATTGCTGTGTAATGCGCATATACTAGGTTCGATCCCAATTCCCATTGAAATTTTTCTCCTTTTTTTCCTTCTTCATAATCTCTATTTTCTCAATCAGATTGCATGTTTACTTTCCATACAAGTTTTCTTTTCCTTTTTGCTAGATTCATACTCCTGCAAGATTGTTTTTAAATAAATTCTGAGATCATGGTCTACATGAGACTGAATGAAAGAAGATCAACAAGCAGTAGAAATAGAAAGCAATTACCTTATTCTCTCCTGTTACGTTAGTCAATGATTTTTATTTCATTTTTAAAATCAGTTAACTTAGTGTCGGAATTACACGTCCTTTCGCTAAAGTCTCATGCCAAGGTGATGCCAAGAAAGTAAAGTAAACCTACATTTTACACAGGAAATTACCGGAGATTCGACTATTTCTGAAATAAGGTTACCGAACAAAATCTATAAACATAAACCGAAGAACTATGATTCTAATAAAAATGAACTAAATACCGTGAGAATTCGAGGGAAAGTCGTCCGAAAGTCGCACAGTGATCAAATCCTGATTTCTTTTTGGCGCCATGTGTTTGTTTGTTAGATTAAGGTCAAATGTCTCCAGTGTGCCCGGCCATGTTGTGCTAGATCACGGGCCACTTAACATATTCAGCGTATAAACAGTAACGTAGTGATGGCCCCGTATCATGTACATGTACGCATATACCGAACATACACATTGTATACACAGAATAATATGTCGATATACGGTAACGTAACAGCACAAGAAAGTGACCGGCAATTTTTCTAGCAACGAAGTCGAAGGTGAGAGAGTGAACTGCAACTTCCTCGATTCTCTTCCGGAATCTAAGCTCAAATTCGTTGCAAAATGATGATACACAGTGGATAAAGGACTAGGTGCCGGCTAAATCAACCAAGATGGCATCTGGTCTGAGGAAAATCACAAATACGCTTGTAAGTAACTTCTCCTTGTCATGCGATCTAATTTGTGGGCGAAGTGGTGTGTATTGTCGTACCGTAGAGCTGGTTGTACACACGGAGATCTCTGGTGCGCGGCCGCCCACCCCGGCCCAATGTGATTTTGTACTATCCCGTGTGCGCTAAATATATTTCTGTTGTCACCTGAATTTTTTTCATAAAGTGTAGGGCCAAATTTCCAACTATCCATGCAAACTGTCACACTTAATCACAAGTTCAGATGAGGAAACAGTGGCTATTTTTTTACAAAAGCTGTAGCATTTTTGGGGGGTGAATTAAGGCCATATTTTCTTCAGATGCCCGTTCTACATGTAGGCCTGAGTACCAACTGCAGTGATTGATGATGATATTTTTCTTTTAAGTTTCAACTATTTTCCATTAAATTTCGCGGAAAAAATGATGCATCCTGACTCCACTTCAGCAGTTGTGTACAAAGTCTATGGTGAGTGAAGAGAATGTTCTGAGTGCACTGTATTACCCAACAACATCGGTAAATGTTTCTCAGTCCAGAATTCGTGTCTTTCCAGCATTTCTGTAATGACTTACTTTTATTGAGATGATATATGATGAGGAAAGTGGAGCCAGGACTGAAAAAACAAAGTTCCTTCTTGGCTCTGGAGGATTTGTTTTACAATTTGGTTCAGTGGACAGTTGATGCATTTGCAACATTTGCTGTCATAAAATAATACTGGATCTGTTTGTGTGATGCAATATATTTTGCTCTTTTAAATTTAAAGTTACGTGTAACAAATTCAAACTTAAGCTACACAAATAAATGACTCAAAATTGCTTTTTTTCATTTTTTAGCTGTGCAGACAGGATGACATTCCAGAAAACCGAACCATTTTTGTTAACCACAAGCCCCCGCCAACTGATGATGTTTACTTCCAACAAAAATTTCCAGACAACCAAATCATCTCATCAAAGGTAAAATGACATTATTCATTGTGGAACTGTGAGAATTGTTTCAGTCATAATGATAATCTTTGTATTATAGGCTCTGTGAGAAAAGTTCATTACACATTTAACGTGAGCTGAACTAGTTTGGCAATTTTATATTCAGATTCCCTGTAATTCTGTAAAGTAGATTTCCTGGTTGTACATTTTTTTGATTAATTTCAGGAGAGTACAGCTGTCCCACTGTATTTAACCTGGGGACACATGTCCACATTTCTTTGAAGTACAAGGAATGAGCCATTGATTTACTGCATAGTAAGAGTTGTGAATTCAGAAAACAGTGCTAAGTGGCCCACTACATCGAGTTATCAACCGGTAGTCAGAAAATGGACCTGACCAAATTACCAGAAGCTAGAAATAAATCTTGTCAAAAACCTTCCACTGAAGTTCCTGTTGTGTGATAGAACACGCTGTTTCAAATGCAAACAGATGGACATTAGTTAAATCATCACTCAAATCTATGCTTGTGACGTGGTTTCAAATGCATATGGATGGACATTAGTTGAATGATACTTTATGCTTGTGATTTGCTCCCTGCCAGAAACCTTTTTCCACTTCAATGTGCTCTTGGATGGTAGAATTGCTTTACTGTGTGATGAGCTGAAAATGTGGTTTGCCTTTTTTGCCTTGAGATTGGTTTAATGAGTTTTTACTTGAAGTTTTTACTTGAAGTTAACTTCACATATTGGGAGAAATTAAACTCGTACTTTATTTGTATGCTTGTAGCCAGAGCTGTATAGTGTCAGCTTTAGATTTTGGAAACAAAATGGCTTCCATTATGCGTACAGTAGAGCATGCAGCTGTCATATACCAACTGCCCGTGTGCACTGCACTGGAGCATGCATCTGCCATTTCGTTTCCATCAATGATGACCCACATGTCACAACTTTCTTTACTTGTCTCTGCTTTGTTCTATTCTGGAATTTGTTCATATTTATGTTAACAGTTGACATTCTGAAGAACCCTCAGAAAAGAAGTTGTATCTTTCATAAAAGTCTTCTCACAAATAATTTCATTGCTTTCTTTTACAGTATACTATCATTACATTTCTACCGAAGAATCTCTTTGAGCAATTCAGAAGAATAGCCAACTTCTATTTTCTCCTTGTTGCTATCTTACAGGTAAGGGTCATGTTTCGAATATCCGCCAAATCAAAACTTATCCCAAACAAATATCATTTTATTTTCCAAGTAGTGCACAGAACAGCATTCGCAGAGGACAGAAAGTGAAACAATATTGATTCTCTATAAATTGAATCACCATATGCAAGATTACCTCTGCGGGTTGACGTTCGATTATTGTGTCCAATTCTGTTTTTAATTTACACACTCTCTTCCTGTAACCATGGTAATCCTTCATTTTACATGTACATACATGTACCGGTATAGTACAAATTAACATTCCTTTAATATTTTATACGGTGCTTTCAAACCTGTAATTAGTTCAGCCTTGCTCTAATAAAGTGAAACAAAACTGTGCTCATTCAGCGTCAGACAGCAAGTAATAAAATGCAAACCACACACGGGCTGCTCATTGCAAATTGGACATCATTAGTTTATTGATTCCACTCGTCACGTGATAAGGTAAAGTATATTAGCTTGCACTCATCATGCCTTCAGACATCATTTGCTTGCGCTTCGCCCATGCATACATGTATGAGGAGCTAGTGTTAACTTACACCTGTCATTACCTAATTAATCAACAGGGATGATTAGCGTTTGTAGCGGTGGAATAATAGGGGGCAGGGCTTGATTTGCCCACCCATGTGTTACTCTTACAACAAAGATATAATATACATCTAAATCTTAAAAGTGCTAATTAACTCTGATATAGCAGATAGGTTTCAGTCCCCTGTGGTGCGATGGGTGAGGGGGGGTTTGAGCATCTTGAGCTATTTTGGGATAAATTCTGCTCTGACACACCCTTCCTAAGCAACACATCCTGCTTGTGTCACTGCTTTCTACCGGTAGGGTGCAGTTTCTGGTTTCCTCGTTTTCCCATGTTGCCAGTGGACCGTATTCGCGGCAATTTCAATTGTATTCCCTAACATGGTGTATTTTTATTTTTTTGAAAACGTTAAATTCAAAGAACAGACTATATTGTACGATTTCATTCCGACCCCCCCCCCAATCACCTGATACCACCCCTTTATGGGTATTAAATTGATACTGTGCATTCAGGAATATGACTGAAATTGGGTACGCTGCGAATATAGTCTATTCAACAAGATAAAAACTGAAAAGAATTTTAGTTTTCAAATGGCTGTCCATTTCATTGTGCAGTGTAGAGTGCTGGCCATTTCCCTAGGGTTGTTGTCCCTTACTTGTGGACAGAAAGTTCGCTAAAGGGACAGCCAATACACTTGAGGAAACAAATATTTCTTGATCACTTACGGGTAATTTTTGATTTGAATTTTTAGTTGTTGACCTTTACTTTTGTACTCAATGTACTTTACCACCATGCTTAGACTGGTTTGTACGCTAGCGTGGTATAATATTCTGTGATTAAAGTAATCCCTAACCCCCTGGGAAGAATGTAATATCATATTGAAATCGGAAGATTGAGATCTGTTGGGGTCAAAGTAATTTTTCTGTGAGCCATCCCTGTATGAGAACACATGAGGCTCCTTATGGTATGACATGAGAGAAAATCACTCAACTTGTGATGGTCCCTGGCAACAGTTGCTAGGTGGTTGTCTATCGGCACAAAGACTTTGACCTCTGCACATCATCCCCGCCTGGCTGGTTAAGGCAGAATATTGGCAGATGAGTTTTGAGATAGCGTTATCAAAATACTGGTTGGGTGTTGATTCCCAGTGTAAATTGTTGTCCTTGTGTAAATGCTGATCAGCCATTCGGTTCAGTTGCTGTTCGTATGCATGCCTTGTTTTTCAAGACAAATGCTGGCAACATATTTGAACAGTTATTTTCTACTATGTAAAGAAAAGGATATTGTGATTTATGGGTTGATCTGTACTGCAGATCAGCCAAGAACTCCATGTACATGTACATGTATTGTATACACACTACCTATAAATCTGTGTATACATGTAAACATTGCGTTCTTGACCTCTGCTTTGTTATTCACAAAATGTTGACGGACACCATATAGTACTGTGTGGCCAACATGCTGTCTACTTACTTTGAGGTCAATCGTTTTGTTATCATTCATTCATGTAAGAATTGTGGCACCATTATCCAGCTATGCCCACTTGGGTATGTGTAAACTATAATACCTAAATGACATAGAAGATCAGATAAGGGGCCATTTGTGACGGACAGATGGCCCTGCAGCAATGCCATTCGCACATATCATGAAGTAAATTTACAGAGGCTTCATTCATAACCAAGAAATGACTGCAGATTTCTTAGTAGGTAAAATTTGTCATGGCAAGAAAAGTATTACATACATGTACATGCTGTTTACTTCTCTCTTTGGGTGTACCAGGTATCTCACTTTTGTCACTGCACTGTATCCCTAGTCCAGATTATCTTCATCATCTAACAACCTAATCAAAATTTGAAATGGCAGAGCGTCCTCTGAACATTTGCTCCAACTACATGTAAATCCGGAGACTGCTTTTGTGTATAGCCCAGTAAGACTTTCACAACACAGTGCTGCCTTGCTCTATGGTAACACTTGTAGCTACACCCAGTTCACCATAATGCTTGCTTGGGGGGATTACTATGATCATGCTTCAGTGCCCACTTGGGTTATCTTCCAAATAGCAATCTAGGCTGGCTCATGTTTACTTTCTGCAAGTCTTGCGGATTAAGGACTACATTCATGAGATAATAAAAAAATGGATGGAGGGATGAAGATATCTTCCTTTTTTAGTAGTGTAATATTTAGATGTGGTTGTTTAATAGGCCTACTCTAATTTTCATTGACTTCTTGTCAATAGGACAGAAAGGAAAATTTGGATTTTTGTGTTTTTTTTGGGGGGGGATGAATGCTCGGAGTATTTCTGTAGTAGTGTGTGATATTGACAACCGCATTGGTTTTAAGCTTTATGATGTGCTGTTTATCATTTTTTGTGTCAAGTGTATTGTCATGCATCTATTTTTAGCCAAGGACATTCGGTTGCCAGACTATTTGGTTTTGCGTGCTGAATTAGACACAGTCATGTGAATGTTTCCGTCAAAGCCTGTCAAGGCTTATGCTTCTGTAATTTTTTTACTATTCGCTGTCATGCCACAATGCATTCATTGTGTGAGGTACAGAGTGGCCTATTTTCTGCAGTGTTATGCGTTTACATGTATTTTGATCATGTTACTGCCATTTTTTCCCGTTTCATACAGGGTAGAAAACTAGCACAGAAAGAACCTACATTTCCTTAGGCCAGGGGGAGGGATGCTTGCCCCCGAATGCAATTGAAAAATAAAAAAGGGAGAAAAAGCAAAAGAAACGGATTAAAGGATAAAAATCAATCGTTTGCTTAGAAAAAAACCCTTGATATTGACTTCCTTCCACTGTTAAAGGGTTTTCAGTTCATTGCTGATGAGTGCTTTGTCTCTTTCCCCTTCTCAAAATTTTTTCCCTTGGAAAGAAGTGCTTTTGCCCCCTCTCCCCCGAAAAAAAAAACTTCCTGGCAACACCCATGCTTGAGGCTGAATTAATTCAACTAACAAAATTTGGTAAAAGACAAAATTTCAGACAAAACTACATGTATTGAAAGGAACTACACAGATGTGCTTACCAGTAACATTTGAAAATATTATTATCAAGAATTCATATCTGCCATCGGCAACATTTTGTCAAAAGTATGCACTTTGAACAATTTCCATAAAAAATACCTGCATTTACATGTATTATATATATGGGTCATTCTATAAATTAGGGGTCTGATTTTTATTAGTGTCCCTGTCATGTCTGACATATGATTACAAAAGTTCAGAACACATTCTCTAACTTCCAAGAATGATGAATTAATGCAAATTACCTGCCAAACAAATAGTTTGAAATCAATTTCTGTGGCATTTCCTTGTCAAATCACACAGGTCAGGTTTAACAAAGACACAAAAATGTCACACTTTTGGACCCTAAATTTATAGAATGACCCATATACACCTCACAGAAATAATTTCAGTTAAAAATGAACGCAAATTGAAATGTTAACAATGAAACTGCAAATGCGTATAATTACATCCTGCATGTACTTGTAGTTTAGGGAAATCTATTTGAGAACTGTGGAGGTTGGATACCAGGAAAATTAATTCTTGTCTTGTGGTCTGTTTGTTTTTCAATACAAGAAGGAGAAAACATTATATTGGAGATTACCAGCTCTGAAAGAATGTGAGCGAACCACACAAATAACCATGCATGTTCTCTCTTTTGCTTCAGTTGGCTATTGACAGTCCAGTCAGCCCCATTACTAGCATCTTTCCTCTGGTCTTCGTTATCTCTGTCACTGCAATAAAACAGGTAAAGATTCCACTCATGCCATAGAACATAGGTGTACTTCTGTCCTACCATGGAGCTATTAATAGGTCCATGGTCCTACAAAAGGATTATCTCGTTAGACATGTGTTCAGTTAATGTGCAGTTTAAGTTTAGGGGAGGGTTGCATGGGGCGTTCAAGGAATCTTTCGAGGGAGGGTTGATTTGTAAAGGTTGGTAATGTTGAGAGCATCTTTATATCAAGCATGCATGTTAGGATGAGGCAAGGTATGGTGGTAAGTGAATTCATCAGTTGGTATTAAGTGTTTTATTTGAGGTAATGAACAATGACCGAGGAGTGACTTTGTCACTGTTCATTTGAATGGCCTTTGACTTGGCTTAACTCAAGCTTGGACTTGTGAGAATTTGTGAGGATTTGCGATGGATTTGCAAGGACTTGTTTGGGTCACTATGGTCTTGAATGTAACCTTCAGTTGAGGTGAACGCCTTAAGACCAGGCGTGTCATGCGACCAGGGAATCGCGCTGAAGGTCACAATTTGAGCAATAATTGCAGCACCGTAAACTCACAAAAAACAGTCTGGGATATCTATGATACAAGATAACATTTTATTGGAACTTGCCAAACTAAAGAACTTTTTACCAAGGGAACCGACACAGGTTTCCCTTTACCTGAAATTTCTTTCTTTGTCAGGTATACGTTTCCCAGGGTTGTCTAGAATAAGGGGGAAAAATATACACAGGTGTGATGAGCATGTGATGAGTTGTACTACTTTGTTGAGTTGTGATTTTTGTCAGGCCTACGAAGACTGGCTACGACACAAAGCAGACAATGAGGTCAACAAGCGGCCCACCCAGGTGGTGCGGGACTGCCAAATCAAGGAGGTTCAGTCCCAGCAAATTCATGTAAGCGTTTTAGAGGCACAGACGGCTAAGTTTAACTCAGCTGTAAGCTTGACCCAAATATCAGGATTTATGGCTCATCAGTTTTCCCACGCTAAGCAGACTGCATTAGGGAAATAGTCACAAGCAAAATGCCTTGCTGACCGATAACCTGTTTTGCTGACCGATAATCTGTTTTAGTACCCAAGCAGAACATTTCTGTACTAAACAAGTTGGTGTTCCTCCTAGCATTTGTTCCTCGGACTCATTTCTCGGTTTGTTAGATTGCATTCTGCTGATTTCAGTATTTCACTGCTTTTATCTTCCAACTTCATTATTCATTCTGCTGTGCTTACTGCTCTGAGTGCTCAACTGAGCAGGGAGGTTACAAACAAACTGCAATTATCCCCTATAGGGGATATAGGGTTATCCTATCGTTAAATTTGAATAAAATCTGGTACCTTGAGTTATCTGATTGCACATAAATATAACAATCTGAATTTCCCAGACTAAAGACACTGTTGCTATACCTCATGATTGGGGGCAAGCTTTTGAATAGCAACCACCATCTCTGGAATGGACTGGTGCCTTTGTGCCGTTCTTATCCATTGAGAATAGTGTAGTGTTGTAAGGCATCAACCAAACAAAAGCTTGTCCTAGGTCACAAGGTATAGCAACAGTGGTTTTAGTATGGAGAATTCAGAGTGTTATGTTCATGTGAATTTAAAGAACTCAGTGTACCAGATTTTATTCAAACTGAACTTGTAGAAGGCTAAGCCAAGTTGGATTATTCCATTTGTTCTGACAGGTGGGAGACATTGTGAAGGTCATGGTGGAGGAGGAGTTGCCCTGCGACATGGTCCTACTGTCTTCACAGAGTGAAGACGGGGAATGCTACGTCACAACAGCAAATCTGGATGGAGAGACCAACCTTAAGGTAAATCTCTGAAGAAAGTGTAACCAGAGTTTCTGCTACCACCTTAATGTGTGTGGTTGAGTTCTTCAACATCTCTCATTAAGCTAACGAGAACCTTGGTAGAAGTTGTGTACAGTTCATATGAGTAAAGTAGCCAATATTTCTTTGAAATAGTTTAGGGAATGGAATATTGTTGGTCACTTTGGTTAAAAACAACTATTTACATGCACCTGGTTTTTTTTGCTAGTAATGGTAACAATATCTTTTACACCTTGGCAGATCTTTCGATCGTTGCCAGACACCGCCATACTACAGGATGAGGAATCACTAGATGTGTTGTCTGCTATGGTGGAGTGCGAACAGCCGCAGCCAGACCTGTACAAATTTATTGGAAGGATGCGCTTCTACACGCAGAACCAGCAGCCCACAGTCAGGTATTAGACAAGGGGGGGCGGGCTAAGTTTAGAGGCAACTAGCTCAAAGTAGTGGATCCAGAAATGTTTACATTTTCATGCAGAAGATTCCCATCAGTGAAATGAAAGTTTTTGAAAATTCCATCCAAACTACATCGATTGATGAGGTGTCTGTCAATTCTCCTTGTTTAGAATTTAATGTTTCAACAGTATTCAGTGTTCTTTTTTGTGTGTTTTAATTCATAGGTCACTCACAGCAGAAAATGTTCTCTTGAGAGGTTCCCGGTTAAAAAACACACCTTTTGTTTATGGTAAGATTCACGGCAGATTAAAAATCTTCCCTCATTGTCTGAGGATGCAAAGATGAAAAGGTTGCCACTAAGAGGAAGGATTTGTTTATGGCTCAGAACATGATTAGAGGAAATGCAGGCTTTGAAAAAAATCTGCAATTTTTTGCCATTAAATGTTTTGATAATTCTTCAGTTAGTACCGTGGCAACTGTCCTCACAATCCAGACAAAAGAGGGCTTTGCAGATTTAGTAATTACTTGACAAGGAATCCATTTAGAGATCTATCTTCAAGGAGTCAGGATTATTGCTAATGTATGCTTAGAACTCCTCCCATCACTCTTTCAGGGTGTGATGGGGATTCTATAAATGTACAACGTTAACTTTGTAGATGGAACCTCAAATTAATTTGTCTTTCTTCACAGGGGTGGCAATTTACACAGGAAGAGAGACCAAAATGGCTCTGAATTCCAGACAAAAAGGCCAGAAACATTCCTGCATAGAGGGGTAGGTCCATATTAAAATGCAGAAAATTCCTAAGCGGTGCTTCAAATCTTGGACTGAGACCCAAAATGTACGGCTTCCATTTAAGTGTCTCTTGTCAAAAAATATTATCATCATCCAAATGTTTTGTCACCGTGTGCATGTAGATTGTACAATGGTTTCCTTGTCAGCATTGTTTTCAAAGCAGAAATGATTCCTTAAGATTGAGCAAAGGGTGTATTATTTGTCTAAACAGCAGTTAAAAAGAATTGTTCCACAGGTACCCCTTAAGTAATTTTGAATCCAAATTTTTTGGCGGTAGTTCCATGAACAAGTACCTGGTGGCCATGTTGGTGTGGCTGCTGGTCCAGACGTCGATTGTGACAGGACTCAAGTTCTGGACGGACCGCCGCGACTTCATGGTGAATTCCTGGTACGTTCATCCAGTCGCCGAGGCATTAGGAGATCTGTCCGGCAGCGTGAGTATTGGAATCAAACGATTTGCTGAATTCTCAAGATGGGTGTTTCCAGAGTCAAAAATCATTTAATGACACTGCTCCACCTGTGCACTTCTTTTGGTAAGCTTGTTACTGTACAACTTTTGCAAGCCAGTGTGAGTTATCTGAAAAAGGTGTTTGAAACTGATCCCCGCCTATTTTGGAGATCCCAGAAGTTAGGTAATTGGGTGTGTACTCATGTTTGACTTCTCTTTTATTGCCAGTTGCATTATTTTGAATACCAACAAATGTGATTTGAAAGTAACCATCTGTGATTCCTTTTATATGTCCTGTTTTTGCAGGGCATCGTCGTCTTCACAGATTTCTTGTCATTCCTCGTTCTCTTCAATTACATCATTCCAATCTCCCTCTATGTCACAATCGGTGAGTTTCCACTTTAAAAAGTCCATGGCTAAACTGAAGACCTCTTTTGTCTGCTGCCTAATGGATAAACATAGTTTAGTGCAACTCTTTAGACCAGTTTACGACAACCTCGGAACATCAAGTTGTTCAGTATGATAATGTTTGTCCACTTTTACGCTTGCCGTTTGTTCAAGGACATCTTGTTTCATTTGAGACCTCTGTTTGCTCATGATGCTAACCTGAAAAGACCCCTTAGCAAATTAGACAACATTTCTTAGTCTGCAACTTCATAATTTCTTGAAGAGGATCAAGTACCGATTAAGTCGTCTTCATTTCTGTTTTGTTTTTTTCAGAGCTGCAAAAGTTCCTAGGTTCTCTGTATTTTGGCTGGGATTTGGACATCTATGATCCTGTAAGTATTCGGAGGAAATTCAACGCCATCTTACACACCAGGCAATTTTGCGAACAGTGTTTCCTCACGCAATGGTTATATTAACAACCAGATGACTTTGAAACTTTCTGCTACATTCCGTCCCATTGGCAATTTAGTCAAAGTACTCTACAGCCCAGTTGTCTTTTGTTACTGCTCTGTTACATTTCTCCCCGCACATCAGAAAGCTGACCTTCGTGCCAAGGCCAACACCTCTGACCTGAACGAGGAGCTCGGTCAAGTTGAATACATGTTCACGGACAAGACTGGCACATTGACGGAAAATGACATGCAGTTCAGGCAGTGCTCGGTCGACGGCATCAAATACGTAGAGGAGGAGGGCAAACTGGTACCCGACAAGGAATCAGTGGCTACTCCTGTAAGTTGACAATTTCTTGTCTTTCTTGGATGAGCAATGATTTGATACTTAATTGAATGTACTGACTCACATTTTTCAGAATGGTTCAAATCAACATTTATTTTATCTATTCTCTGATTTGATCTAGCATATCAAGATATATGTTTAAGGATTGCATCGACTTCAGGATTGTTTGTCATAGAAGTAGAACCAGTGAGCTGGTATCCGACAACCCATTTTTATCTATTTCAACCCATGCAGGAGGCAATGAAAGAATTCTTGCTATGCATGGCTCTCTGTCACACAGTCCATGTCAACAAAGACCAAGGTGGGGACGAGGTTGATGCACCAAACGCCTACGAGGACTACACACAGTGGCAGTACGAGGCCTCGTCCCCAGATGAAAAGGCTCTTGTTGAAGCCACTCGTAGGTGAGTTAGCGACCGGGTGCACACAGCAGCTGTCTATTGGTGACCAGTACAAAAATCACAGATTAGTACTTACCCATCTTTGGAGGTATTCTTATCGTAACTTTGGCAAAAGACACACTGTTTGTTGTACTTTTTCCTGGCAAATTTGTGCCAGTTAGTTTGGAATCAGCACTACAGAAGTTCCCTCACCTGGTTTTGCTTTTTTTTTTGAGTAGGCAATAAACATTTTGGTCTTTGATTAGTTTCTGAAAAGTTGAGATGGTCTCTGTATTTTGCTTGTTCTGTTTTCCTATTTGTTCTTCCATGTGACAGTGACACTGCGAGAATATTCTCACATTCACTTGTTTGTGAACAGGTTTGGTGTGGTCCTAACAGCCTCCACACAGGAGTACAGCGAGCTCATGATAGAAGGGGACCTGGTTCGATTCCAACTGCTGCATGTATTGGAGTTTGACCCCACCAGGAAATGCATGAGTGTCATCATAAGGACCCCTGAGGGTACGTGTGTCCCGGGTGTGTCTGGGCTTGAGCCTGATCGAGGTCATGTCCAAAAACTAGCTGCTGAAGTCTATGGCTATGCCTGTTGTCCACACATCCCTCCATATTTGCATCTGGCAAAGACTTAAACCTACATTAGCTGTTGACATAAGATTTGGATGGAACCCAATACCTAATTTCTTCAAGTTGATACTGTGCTGGTCTGTGTTTCATGGAGTCAGGAATTGCTACTTGAGTACATTTTTTACAGAGAGACAGCTCTTTGCTGTCCATACCACCACTTTGCTCAGCACCCTCACAGAGATTGTGCGCATTCAAATGAAAATTCATATGAAGTCGCATACACTCCTTTCATTTTGTTGTACAGGGAATGTGCAGGTCCTGTGCAAGGGAGCTGAATCTACCATCCTGGCTAGGAGTGTGACCGGACAGAAAGATATCATCTTGGACCACGTCAACGATTACGCAGTGGTCAGTGCCATTTAAGTTTTTTCCACATGGGTTTTTTAAATTCTCTCTTAATATGCTGGCTAAACAGCAGATAACTCTTGAAAATGTGGTGTGGAAAAGTAGGTTTTTACACAAAATTACAGGTGGCTAAAAGTTTACTTTTCGAAGGAGTTCTTGAGGACTTAAATTTACTTTAAAAATGATTTTCATGAACCTGGGAACCATGTCATTAAATTTCATTTAAAATAATTTTCATGAACCTGGGAAATATTTCATTAGATTTAAGATACTGTTAAAAACTGACTGTTGGTGAAATTTTTCGTAGGATTTGACTGAATTTTTGGCGGAATTTATACAAATCCTGGAAGTTGTGGTAAATGTATGATATCTATTTGTTTACATTTGTAGTTGGGGCTTCGGACACTCTGCTTTGCCAAGAGGGAATTGAGTTACAGTGAGTACGAGAATTTTCATGATCAACTCCAAGAGGCATCCACAGCCCTTGAAAGCAGGGAAGAGAAGGTATGAGGTCATCACCTTCAAACTCCATCCAATCACTTTAATCTTTTCCACCAGTAACTTAAACAGAATTGTCTTGTCATTTTGCTGTGAGAGTATGGTGTCTGTTCATGTTGTAGCCCTGCCATGGTGAATAGGGAATTTCAATGTAGGGGTTATTTTAGCATCATTGTTTGTCCTTCAGCTCTTTTTTCCTGCCATTTTACTTCCTTTGATCCAAAGAACAAATTAGTAGAGTTTCAAAGCTGAATGTTGTTTACTTTCCTAGTAACTGTAAACAAACAACTAACAAAAAGCTTGGTCTCTGTGTTTCTCTGTTTTCACGAACATAAAAGTAATCAAAAATGTGTGTTAAAAAGTTGGTATTTTTCAAACACGTATCTCGGACTGTCTGCCTAGCAAGATTTTGAGGTTTTTGTCACGTCATGAAAACACTGATGATTTATCTGGTCACAAGTTCGTCATGAGTTTTTTTCACATGTCTGGTCACATGTGGCTGGTGATGGACGGTGACGGAGGCTTCACAGTTCATCATTGCAAATTGTCCGTTTTGACTTGACTCGAAAATGGATGACATGCGTTGGACTTGTGAGGATTTGTTGTGTTGTGAGGACTTGTGATATAGACATGAGGACTTGTGATGTAGACATGAGGACTTATGAGGACTTGCACTGCATGTTGTGAGGACTTGTGATGGGCTTTACCATGGGAGTGTATGCACACAGCAGCAAGGAAGAGTTTGTGTGCACTTCGTCAGTACTCGCTTCCATCTGAAAGGTTGTAGTCATTTTCTGTACCTTTGCTGAAGGTTTCATCTTGTGATGTTTGATTTTCTTGTATAGCTTACCCAAGTGTTCAATGACGTTGAGCAGGAACTACATCTCCTGGGTGCAACTGGAGTGGAAGACAAGCTACAAGATGGCGTCCCAGAGACCATTGAAGCCCTTCGTATAGCTGGCATCAAAGTAAATACATTGTATTTGAATATGCTACCCCAAAACAGCAACATGAGACTATTTTTCCCATGATTTCTCCCAAGAGTTCGACAATTCTCCAACAAGTCCCCCAGATAGAGTCCCTTCATTTGATTAGATGAAGTATGTACTGCCTTATGAAATAGTCTGGTGGTTCAGATGATGATTTTATGGAACCACTGTCTCATGTTAGGTTTGGGTGCTGACTGGTGACAAGCAGGAGACAGCCGTCAACATCAGCCACTCCTGCAAGCACTTCCAGCCTCACATGCAGGAGTTGATGCTGGTCAAGCAGGCCAACGCTCAGGAATGCGGGGAGACTCTCTGGCGATTCCTGGAACAGTGAGTCCATTAAACTCTTGTCATTCTCTATCGCTGAATCTGCTTTAGCTTTTCTAGCATGGCATCTGATGGCATCTTATGCTTAAATAATGATTGAAAGTTTGGGGGACATATTGGAGAAATGATGGAGTAAAGAAATTGGAAACCGATTTTCTTTTCTTTTGTAGAATGAAAGCAGAACCTAAGGTGAAATATGCCATGGTCGTTGATGGTCCAAGTTTATTCCATGCCTTGGAACATCACAAGGACACGCTGCGAGACCTGTGCCTTAACTGCGTGGCTGTCTTATGCTGCAGGATGTCTCCACTCCAAAAAGCAGAGGTGAAGTTCCTCTCCGTGTGGAAACTTTACCAGACATTTGGCTAGTAACCATCTAAGAGGAGTTTTCGTTACGCATCAAACAGTACCCATCGTATCAACAAAGCTAGGAGACCCATATTGCAGGCGAAGATTGCAGAGATGATACAACATTGATATGGCATTGAGGAGGGCAAAGGTTCAAATCCTGGTGATTGGCTTGGTAGTGACAATTTTGTGGAATAAGGTCATGTAATGAATTAGCTCTTCGTGTAGAGCACTTATACAGCATTCCAGAGGTCAGAGGTTTACATCCCAGGTGACAAATTTTTTCTGTTGTGTCTGAAAATTGAGATATATATCTATAAAGCTACCAAGATGCTGGAATTTCTGATGAACATTTCAGGTTTGTTTGTAACATTTGGATGGTTGAAGTGGTTTTATAAATGTGTATTAACTGTTGATCTTTCAGGTTGTCAAGCTGGTGAAATTCTCGGACAAGCGCCCAACTACCATGGCCATTGGTGATGGTGCCAATGATGTCAGCATGATCCAGGAAGCTCACATTGGTCTTGGTAAGGCTGCTGTCGTTTTCCAGGCTTCTGGTCTCTGTCCTTATTCCCCTGTTAGCTTCACAGAATCAATGCCAAGAATTTGAGAAGAGGAAGTAAATTTTTTTTTTTAAATTCATTTGCAGTAACTTAAATCATACATTTGAATCAGTATGCCACCTTTGTGCTTGATATAGTTCTGGGGAAAAGTTGGCAGTTGAGAGGCCTTCATGAAATTTTTGATAGAGCTAAGAAGTTAAACTTTTGAAAGTCTTGTGTGTTTATATAGAAGTTTCAGAAATGGCATTGAAATCTAAATTTATGCAGAATTGGATTACTGATTTGGGACAGAATGATGAGATTTTCTTTCTCCTTTTGTTCTTTCATTGGCTGTTGTTTTCTTTCGCCAGGCATCATGGGTAAAGAGGGTCGGCAGGCCGTCCGATGTAGTGACTATGCATTCTCCCGCTTTAGGTTTCTTATACGGGTGCTCCTTGTGCATGGAGCGTGGTACTACAACCGCATTGCAATCACAGTACAGTACTTTTTCTACAAGGTGAGTTAGTTGGGTTGGGTTGGTAT